GAGAGAGAGAGAGAGGGGGGGATGCAAGGAGGGAGTCGTATATTGTTATAGTTTGAAAAGGTGATGGTCTTGATCAAAGGGTTGTTATACCAGGTTAATTTGTTTGTACAAGGAAAGATTACTTGTTTATGTTATCATTGTCAATCCATTAGGATTAAAGTTTGGATGGCATGGCTTTGTTTGTTTGTTTGTTTGTTTGTTTGTTTGTTTGTTTGTTTGAATGAGGAAAAGCACATAGACAATGGACAAAGACAGACACAGCGGAGAGAAAGAAGAGAAGAAGTAAGATGTACCAGTGTCGTCTCCAACCACCTGGAAAGTTGAGTGGGTTTTACGTCCCTTTTCGAACATTCTTTGTTTGTGTATGTTTAACAAAGTGTGTATGTGTGTATATGCATGCGAGTGAGTTTGTGTGTGTGTGTGTATGTGTGTGTGTGTGTGTGTGTGTGTGTGAGAGAGAGAGTTGTGCCCCTTACACCATAACGGAAGCAGACTTTGTCGTTTAGTCGTTTGGTTGTCAGGACACACGCAGTGCTCCAACATTGCTTAAAACGTTTTCCACGTTCTTTACTATGTGGTCGTCCATCAGCTTTAAATACAGTCTGAAATGCCTGCTTCAAAGGTCTCCGACAGCTAACGTCCATACACTTTCAGCCCGCCTCCAAAGCTGCGTGTGACCTGAAGCAGGTACCACCATTATAAGATTCATCTCGAATTCTTCTTCGAAACCCTTCTCCACCTCCTTCTCCTCCTGGGATATTAATATTATTATTTACACGTATACTGCTCGGTCCTTTCGCTACATCGTAAACACTCCACGTAACAGCACCAGTGGAACTTGCAGGAGCACTGCCACACGCGCGTGTACTGGTGCGTGTTGTAGCCCCTGCCACAACACATGAGGTCGCAACCGTCAGGTCCCTGCGACGTGCGGTTACAGGAGCGTCCCACAGTCCCCAGAGAGCCCGTGGCCTCGTCGTAATCACAGTAGTTGGGCGACTTCTCCACGTAGATGAGGTGGCTCCTCCGCGGCTTGCGGTGAGGACGTTTGGAGCGTTTGAGGACGAGGGAGATCGGGCGCCGAGAGCGGCCCCCAAGATAGGGCACCACGAATTTTGATTTCCGGTAGCGTTTGCGCAGTGCGTCGCCAATACGGCGGAAAGGGGGCAACGTGGTCCAGCATGTCTTCACTGTACATGAGCCGGACACGCCGTGACATTTGCAGTCTGTGCTCATGTTGACTTTGACGGCCTGGGGTCGTACCCGTGAGATAAGTGTGTTGTCGAGTTGATGAAGATTTTTTCCGGGTGGGAGTTGGGTTTGGGATAAAAAGAAATGGGGGGG